CTCTCTCTCTCTCTCTCTCTCTCTCTCTCTCTCTCTCTCTCTCTCCAAAAGAGACAGGGTCTTTTTATGTGTATTCCTGGCTGTCCTGGAACTCTCTATGTAGACCAGGCTGGCCTCAAACACATAGAGATCCTCCTGTCTCTGCCTCCTGAAAGAGAGAATTAAAGGCATGTGCCACCAGCCTAGTTTTTTTTTTTTTTTTTTTTTTTGTTTTTAGAGATAGGATTTCTCTGTGTACCCCTGGCTGTCCTAGAACTCACTCTGTAGACCAGACTGGCCTTGAGCTCACAGAGATCCTCCTGGTTCTGCCTCCTGAGTGCTGGGATCAAAGGTGTGCACCACCACCGCCCGGCTTCCAGCTTTTAACTGACTTTCTAATGCAGTTGATGCTGTCTTGATCACTTTGCTTTGTCCTCCAACTTTCCGATCTAAGATCATTCTAAATGCTTTTCTACTTTCCTGAGACCAATTCCTCTGGTCTTCATTGTCTCCTTTCATACAGCCTCAGTTTCAGGATAATTTCAGGATAATGGCTTTTCCTGAGCTTTTGGATGCATGTCACTATTATGTGTCCACCCCACCCCCTCATCCTCTCCAGTATTAGCATCCCACCTCCTCAGTCACAGTGATCTCTGTAAGCTTGACTGTAAGTGTTGCCTCCAATTAGCAAGGGAGCCATTTCCTCTCCCAGGCAGAAGACTGTGGCTTCTGGGACATTAACTGTCACCTGCTGACCCTAAGGAAGTTATGGCCTGCTCCAGCTTCCTTAAGGAAAGTAGAAATATGAAAACAGCTCATTTACGTGCCTCTGTTAATTTCATCACTCAGCAACCATTGACTGAGCACCTGCCAGACACTGCACTGTGCTGGGCCTTGGTAGCCAGGGTGCCACAAGGACACCACATCATAGATGCACATATGTCCGTGGTAGTGCTTATGAGTCCAAACATTTCTTTTCATGAAAAGGCTCCCCCCTTCTCCGCTCCCTCCTCCTCCTTCTCCTTTTTAAAAATGCAACAGAATTTCATTTAGCCCAAGCTAGCCTTGAATTTAACTTGTAGCTAGAATAACCTTGACTATGTGATTCTCTTGCTTCTCCCTCTGGACTGCTGAGAACACAAGCATGCTGGGATTATACCACAGCTGAGTTAGGCCCTGTTAGAAAGCAGCTCCGGGACTTCCTGCATACTAGCCAAGTGCTCTACCAACTACATTAACCGGACAGTCTCTCCCCCTAAACTCTGTTTTTTTTTTATCCTCTGAAGTTTTTTTTTTCCCTATCATGAAAGGAGATATTTTCAACCATCCAGAAGAAGGAGAGAAGGAGCAGAATTTACCAAGTGCTCGCCTCTGATAACTCTTCTCAGCCTTTCTGCCTGCCCTGTGCCTGAGAAGGTGACCAGGAGGCACAGACCCCAGCAGTTTCCAAAACCTCTGGAGAACTGAGTGTTCTTTGTAGAGACACACAGCAGGTAGGTAAGGAACGAACAAAGGCATTGCAGGAGATTTGAATTACACCCTCTGTCCCAGGCTGGGAGGTCCAGCATTGTAAAGAGATCTTGCTCAGGTTCTGATAGCCTCTAGGGACAGGCAGCTGAGTGTGGCACTTCCTAGCGCACCAAGGTATCTGTGCTGAAGGGCCCCAGTGCTGTGAGATAGTATGTGGGATGTGTGTGTTGAGGGTAAAGGCTGGTAGGACTTCTGGGGAGCCCCATAACCCCATTATGACCTCCAGCTCAACCATCCTGGTAGCAGCTTTTACAGAGCCCAGTAGTAGCAGGGAGGGGGATGGAGGACGTGTTCACCGAGGGGAGCCCCCGCCCCCTTCACAGAGGTTCCGGTGCCTGAGGTTGCAGAGAGAATTAGAACTGAGCTTGCCCTGGAGGAAGTCAGTGCAGCCAATAACAGAGCTTGGCCTGGGCCTTTGTCATCTACCACACACCCCAGCCTTTGTCTGGGAAGACACAAGGGCTATACCTTCTGGAGGCCTAGCCTGGAAGCAGCCAACACCTCTGGTTCCCCACCCCCATCCGGTTGAGGCCCAAGCCTTAAAGCAGTTCCTCAATTTTAGTCTTGGTTTTATGTGCTTGTGCTATAACCAGGGCCTAACTGTTCCCCAAGTGTTCCTGAGACTCTCAGAAACTACAGCTGCTCCTCTTCCTCGATACTGTCACCCACCCTGTGGTCTCTGATTGTGCCAGGCCCTTCCCTTTAGCCCACTCTCTTGAGTCGCTAGAACAATGGCGGACAGTCACCTTACGCCCTGAATACTTAGTTCTTCATGGCTGCCCCTCCTGCTACCTTCTCTTTACGCCACTTTCTTCTGTTCTGGAATCACTTAATGGGACACAGCACGTTAGGCACTGGGGACACATTTCATAGAGTCCTTGTTGTCAAAGTGAATAAGTTACATAAAGAGTTCCCCGAGAGAACGTGAGGCGCATTCACTGCCAGGTGGAATGAAGGGCCAGGGGAGTGCTTTTGTGGTTATGTTGGTTCCTTGCCTCCTCTCTCTCCATACTTTCTAGGCATGTGAGAGCCCTCTCCCAGATTTTCTCCTTTTCTGCTGACTTCAAGAGAGAGACCTAAGAGCCTATCACTTTGAGGAATGGGGTGTCCCTCTTGGGCCTCTGGCAAACTAGATCATGCCAAGCTCAAGAACCAATCCCAAGAGAAGGGGAGGGGTGGATCTCAGGGCTGGGGAGGTGGGAAAACGTGCCAGGGAGAGGACCAGCGATAACAGTTGGCTAGAAGGGAAAGGAGAGCAGGCAGACATAGTTGCAGATTTTGGGAGTTATGTGCTCTGTTCCAGATCGGCCATGTAGTCTTGGGCTGCATTAGGATTGAGGAGCAATTGGGACTGGACAGATTACCCCTCCTGTAATCGCTATCTGGCTCAACAGAGCTAGAGACCTTCAGCTCCCACTCTGAGACTCCATTCTGGCTCCCTACCCTAGAAGGTCGAATGCTCTGCATCCCTGTTTACCCTGTTCACACAGAGGGCAGGGACCAGAGGGGAACCAGTGAGGTCAGTTTTTATTAGGTACAGTAATGAGGAGCCAGGCTCCACGGAAATTACAGCCTACTACAACCAAGGCTTGGGAACCTGAGGACAGGAAAGACGTCCTCCAAAAGTCACAGCTCAGTTGTGGGGCTGCAGTGCGGCTCCCCCATTAACGCTCCATTTCTGAGCTCTAATGTGGTGGCGCTGCAGGTGCGGCAACCCCTGTCCTGCCGCCCCCCCCCCCCATCCTTCCCGGGCCAAGGCGATAACTTGGTTAGTTAGGATGGACTACAGTGAAGCACTGAGACCCCAGAGGCCAGAGCCCCCATCCAAGTACCCTGGGGTTCTCAGCAGGGAGCACGAGGGGTGATGGGGGTTGGGAAAAGAGAAAGGAGGACTGCAGATCTCAGCCTGGGAGCAGAGAGCAGGAGGGAGGAAGGGCCGGGACTCCCTTCCAGTCTCGAGTCTGGGGGCTCAGGGATGTAAAGGAGAACACGGATGTGTGTGTGTGTGTGTGTGTGTGTGTGTGTGTGTGTGTGTGTGTGTGTTGGACAATTCAGCAGAGGTCGGGACGTACCACGGAGCCCAGTAGCGGCGGGGAGGGGGGGGGCCCGAGGACGTGGTCACCGAAGGGAACCCCCGCCCCCTTCACGGAGGCCGAGGCTGAGGTTGCAGAGAGAACTGGAACTGGGCTCGCCCTAGGGGAAGGCAGGGCGGCCAATCCGTCCCCTTCCCACACCCTACTCCGAGGGGGTGGGGGATAGAGAAGAGGTTGGGGTTGGAGCAGCAGTGAGGGGGCCCCTCCCTGGCACCTCCCCCCACCAGACTTGGTCGCGCCCGAAGTGTAACACTTTCTCTTTGTCGGAGGAGCTCCTCTGTTTCCTGTGCAGCAGCTCCCGTTGCGGCGGCACCCGTAGCAGCCCTGGCGGACGAAGGAGCGATGGCAGCGGCCGACATAGCTCGCCAGGTGGTGAGTGCGGGGCTTGGGTACCAGTCCCCGGGCTGGGAGGTTGGGGTGGGGGATAGCTGGGGACGGCCGAACAGACTTGGCCACAGCCACCACCACTACCACGAGGAGGGCAGTGGGGTAGCATCCAGGAGCAGAGGCAAGGCGGGACTTTTGCTCCCAGGGTCAGCAGCTCAGTCCCCTCTCTCCCCAGCGCTTCCTGGAGACCTGTGGTGGCGGGAGGGTGGGGGGCGATTGGCAATGCCTACTGGCGGGCAGCTGAACTTGCATAGCGGGAGAAAGCTGCAGTGAGCGCCTCCGCCTCCCTTGCTGCAGCTGTGGCCCCGCTGCTGGGGCGTTGCCGAATGAATGGCCGCATGAGTACGGAGCCCTCCGGGTCCCTGTCCCCTTAGCTTGGCAGCACCCCTGGGCACAGCTGCCTGCTGGGACTCCAGCTTGCTCAGAATGAGGGGCGCGAAGCTGAGGGTAGCCTGGGACCAAAGGCAGAGTGTGGAGAGGGGGCGGGGAGATGAATGGCTGGAGTAGGGTTTCTCCATATGCATTACATATGTGACTGCGTCTCTGTGTGTATCAGTGTGTATGCATATATGTGCATGGGCGCCCTCCTGCCTTCCCCGTGGCAGGGTTATGTGACCCTGAATGAGTCGGCCTGTTTCTCTGTGCTCACCTCTAGGGTGTGTGTTCCTGCATCCCAATGCCTCTGTGTCCACTTGTGCTGAGTCCCGCAGGGTCCCACTTGTGCATCTGTGGAAGGGGGTGGTGCAGTTCACCCAGCCTGTAGGTGGCTGGCTGCGTATTTTGGCACATTTCCGAGCGCTTCTTTGAGGGTCGGTCTTGGGTTCAGTGTGCATGGGTTTGTATGCTAAAACCTGTGGCGCTGATATCTTTCTGTAGAGACTGGGGAAAATAGCCTGAGAACTGCAGAAGCAGTGTTCCCTCTCTTTTGGTGGCGACCAACTGTGGGGGAAAAAATCATTTTAAAAACTAAAGTTTTCCAGCCTGGGATGTGCAGAGAAATCATTCATACTCAACAACTGGAGGCTCCATGTTTGTTTGTTTTTAGATCAGAAGTTTGGTTACAAAGAGATGATTCCATTTGTGGGAACGATCTAGTTTTTCTATTCCACCAGCACACCAGCACCATAAGTAGAAGCAGAATGAGGTCGAAGGCGCAGGCATAGCCCACTACCCCGAATACTACTGGAGGAGAAATGATAGCCTTGTAAGCTCACATTTATTTAGTGAACTAGCCGTGCAATGTAACTCCAGCACAAAAGGCGGGGGTAGGAAGCAGCCTGTAGGTATTTGATGTAATTGCAATTGATTTGTTTTCTAAATCTGAATCCAGAATCTGATAGCATTTTTTTCGACAGATAGAGAAATTTATTGCATTTCCTGTCTGGCTTTGGAAGGTCAGGGTCGTTTATTTGAAACCTTCTTTACCCCCTGGTACACCCCCAGCACAGAGCTCCTTATGCAGACACGGTGTGGAAGGCAGAGGCAGATATGAGACAGCTCTTGATGATGATGGAATTGGAGAGATTTCTCAAGACTGACACTGTAATAGTTTGAGAAAAACCAGGGCAATTTCTTCTCTGCATTTTAAAGATGCCATAGTTTTAAGTAGATGAATCAGTTTCCTGGATTACACTTGCTCTAACCTTAGTGACCAAAAAAGAAAAAAAAAATTACACTGGTGATTTTCTTGTCATGATGAATTTTCATGGATCTGCCCTCACCAGTTTCCCTTTCCTGGATTGGGGTTGCAAGGCTGATATTGGCAAGGGATTTCAGAAGGCTGCTTCACCATAGGCACGACTCAGGCAACCTAGAGATCACCTTTGTTCTGCAAATGGGGCTGCAGTAAGGGATGGTGTAGGGGCTTTTGATTTGCTCTGGGTGGTTCCAGTTTCCTCTGGCTGGCCTTACCACATTGTATACTGAAAAACATAATTGTATGGCAAATTCTGAAGTGGCCCAAGCACTTGAGACTTTGTTATCATGACAAATGGGTTTCTGGGAAAGCTGACGTCACTCTCCATGCTTCCCTCCCCCAAGCTAGGGAAGCTCTTATTTATGTGTCATTTGTCTCTCTGCTTTCCTTTGTGTCTGCAAGAAGTTGTAATTCACCAGGGGAGGCTGGAATTAACTCAAGAGACTTTGAGTGGCTGGTTACTTCTGATTTCTTCAAAGGAATAAGTGTTTAGGGCTTGGGAAGAGAAGGCCTGAGAATCATGCTATGTGTGGCAAGCTTTGAAGTTCTTAGTAAACTGAGGCACGATGCCATGTGAGTAGTGTCTTGGTGTGTATGTTCTTCACAGTCTCTGGAGGATCACTGTGACCAAATACCGCTAGTAGTAAAATGGCGTGGGAGTTGTTCTTGTAGGCCTTACATTTGGGTGTTCGTTCATGCATCTTGAAAGTTCATAGCTCAGTTGTATCCCATCTGAATGAACACCACAAAGGATTCTGTATTTCTCCACCATTGCTATGAATACTTGTTTGACTGATGTGAACAACACTATGGCCAGCCCTTATAAACCATACAAAAAAAAAGGTAGCATACATATATACAGCTCATGACTTTCAAAGTTCCAGCTTAGTTGGAGATGCAAATTGTGGATACTGATACAATTAAGAAGAAGTAGAAGATTCTTGGGGTGCTTCCATCTGTGACGTGACTCGGACTGTCATTGCTCTGTCTAGAGATGTTACATGACTGATGTGAAGGTGACCTAGGAAGGCACAGTGCAGTCATCAGAATCTCTATATCTACTGGCACCTTGATTCTAGTTTTCAGGATTGCATTTTCGGTTCGGACTGTAAGTACTGTGCTTTGGAAAGCAGAGTGTGGTTGAGTCTGGCTTGAACAAATACCACCCACAATGCGATCAGCGTTACTTTTTCCAGTTACAGTCCATTAAGCCACTGCCCCTAATGAAAGACCTTGCAGGGACTCTTACAAGAGTTGTCTTCGCCAGGACTGCCCTGAAGGAGTTGTCCTCAAGTTACCACCTGCCATTGAGGAGAAGACTGCTTCTGCATTCTGGTCTTACAATTAGTAACAATTACTCACTCTTATCTTTTGTTTGTTCGTTTGTTTTGAGACAGACTTTTACCTGTCCACCAAGGTTAGTCTGGAACTCCTGCCTTGGGTGCTCTGGATTGCAGTTACTTCACGGTTTTCCTCTTGATGCTCCTCCTTAATTCTTAATCACTAAAAGTAATAATTGTTCTCAAAAGAGAGAGAGAAAACCAAACCCCATAGATCTACCTGAGGCTATAGTACGGAATGAAGTTTACATGGCCCCAAACAGTGAAAAACTGTTGATTCCAAGTCAAGGGAATAGGGGTAATCATTACATAGTTTCCCAACTTTTTTGTACCTTTAAGATTTGTCAGAAACATTAGAGAAGCTGGGTGTGGTGGCGCATGCCCTTAATCCCAGCACTCAAGAGCAGAGCCAGGCGGATCTCTGTGAGTTTGAGGCCAGCCTGGTCTACAGAGTGAGTTCCAAGACAGCCAGAGCTGTTATATACATAGGGAGAACCTGTGTGTAAAACAAAAATTAAAGGAATGTTACGGTACCAGCCCCCTGTGTAAGGCCTCTTCCTTCAAAAGGGTTTGCAGTCTAATGGTGGGGGCAGACGCAAATCTTTATGTAGGGCTCAGTGGGTTAAAAAAAAACACTTAGGGGCCAGGCGGTGGTGGCGCACGCCTTTAATCCCAGCACTCGGGAGGCAGAGGCAGGCGGATCTTTGTGAGTTCGAGGCCAGCCTGGGCTACCAAGTAGGTTCCAGGAAAGGCGCAAAGCTACACAGAGAAACCCTGTCTCGAAAAACCAAAAAAACAAAAAAACAAAAAAAAAAAAAACACTTACCACAGAAACTTGACATTTCAGGTGATCTCTTAACAAAACCCTCTGGCCTGTGCACATGTGCCATGGCATGCAAGTCCCCACACACATCCTGCACACACACACACACACACACACACACACACACACACACACACACAATAATGAAGTTTTAAAAATTCCTACTTAATTATCATCATCTTAAGTGCTAAAGAGGAGAACTACTGCCTGCCATGAGAAGTCATCATAGGGGACCGAATTCAGCTATGGATGAAGGCTGTAAGCGATAGGAAAGGCTTCCTGGGGGCTTCTGGATAGGAAAAGGGTAGGTGTGAAGATGGGTGAGATCACACTTCTGCCACTTGCTTGGGAACAGTTCATTTGTCAATTCACCCACTGCTGTTTTCATTCATTCTTCAACATTTATTTATCGGGCACGGACTCTGCCAGGTCCTATGCCAAGTGCTGGGGATGTAGTGGTGGCCAAGGCATGGAGGAACTCTGCCCCTCCTCAGAGCTGCCAGATGAGGCAAATGAGCCCTGTTTTCTCTTGACATTTTAAACCCAGGAAATGTGTTAGTGGTGTATTTATTACAAAACTTGATTACAGTAGACTAATAGGTCTGTATAATAAAATGAGAGTTTGATCTGCAATCATATGCACAGCATTTACTTTGTGTCTGATATAAATATTCTATTAATTGCTGGCTTTGTTACTAGTATGGTCCCGCACCTTGTGTTCTGTAAGGGAACAACCCCATTGCTTTAACTTAGACAAAACTAATTAGGAAAGTTAGTCTGCTGGGGGAAAAAACACTATTATAATTATATAGCACTGGTTTCCAGACTTGCTGGGATTGCTAGATTGTCAAAGCCATGACTTAATATTAGCATGAACAATTGAGAAGGCCTTTATTTCTGTGTGCATTGAAACTGCATACCAGACACATGGAAAGAAGAAAAAGGGATGGGGAGGGGAGGCGAGGTGGGGAGGGAGAAGAAAGAAAACCTTGCATAGTTGTAGCCTGCTTAGCTCTCTCAAAATGCTTCCATCTGTATGATTTCATTTCCCCCAACAACTTCCTGGACAGGTATTCCTGGTCTCTTCATGTTATGCCTGCAGCAAGCAAGAGACTTAGTCCAAAGT